GAGCGATATATACAGCTGTGACACAATTAATGTCCCTTAACATGCCCCCCCTTCGAAATGAGCGAGGCGAAGCTTGTCATAAGCCGCAGGATCAAATCTCTCGGGAGGCCGACTAATACGGGTAGAACGCCGAATAGGGGCATCTGAGCTATCACTAGGAAGACTCATATAATTGTCACTAGAAGTCTCATCATCATTATCATCAATATCATTTTGAGTCTCTTCGACTTCTGCTTCAAATTGATAACATGGACTCCATATATATACTCCGAGTATCAATTGGCTTGATGGGAATGATCGCAGCGCCTTGAATATCCGGATAATCAGACGACGGGTCTCCGGATGGAGGGAGAAGTCGGACTTGAGATGGATGGACTACTGTAGCGGTCTCTGAATCCAATGATGTAATCTCGAGCCTCGAAGGCGATAGTATCCGAGAGACGACGAAACCTTCCGAACTGAATATCGGGGTAGTATTAGGGAAGGCACTGTACTTGACCCTTTTCAATACCAGATCGCCAATCACAAACCCAATCTTGGAGTCATTGTCATTTGGCAGTATACTAGCGCTTTTTGTAGTATGCCAGGTCATAGAATTACCAAAGAATAATGAGGCAGGTCTCTGATGATGAGCTGAATGAGGGATGGAGTTGTAGATGTGAACAGCTCTTTGTAGCCAAGATACGACAATTGGATGAGAGACAGTACCTCGATTATGGTGTTGATATTGTAGTTGTAAGCATAATATAGATTGGCGTAGAAGTCGATGGAATCGCTCTATAGCCCCATTAGTCTCTGGCTGATTAGGGATAGAGTACTTTTGGATGACCTCTCGCTCTTGGAAGAACCTCTGGAGCCTGGCAGATCGGAAAACCGCAGAGTTATCACAATAGACTTCCTTAGGCAATGGACAGAGAGTGAAGTACAGTTCGAAGGCCTTCAGAACGCTGTCAGTATTTTCCCCGCCCTTCAGTTCGAAGGCGAAGGCAAATCGTGAGAAACCATCAATAATGGTAAGAACCGGGCCGAGTTGAGCATGGGGATGTGTGACGTCGAAGTATAGACGCTCCAATGGCTTGTTGAGATGACGGGTCAAAGAACCCGTGTGGGGATGCTTCGCAGCACCTGCAGAAGGTTTTGCTTGAATACATACTTTACATGAAGATAGATGTGAGTAGACATCCTTATCCATAGCTGGCCAGTAGTAATGCTTGGACAGCTCGTGTCGTATCTTGGGAGCTCCTGCATGATTGAACTCCTCGTGAATGTCGGCAATAAGACGACCTCGTTTGGATCGTCGAGGAATAGGAACAGTAACCCGATAGCCAACATCAACAGGGACATAACTTCGGTAAACCAAACCGTTCTTG